GCCATGAGAAGCTGAATTACGGTAAAACGATGCCCGGGAAGAAAACATGGTGCTATACAAGTGGGGTGGGCACGCCCAGCTTTTCACGCATGTCAAGTGACTGCCCTCACCCCCACCCCCTAGATTGGCTACACTCCCCCTGGCTCACGAATTCCCCGATTCTCGTGACAGTATAGTAGCGGGCAGCAGTCCCACTTACATACATTTCTGTTCAAAAAATGCGGCGTGCCCACCCTACTTGTATAGCACCATAACTTATAGCGGACTTGCTCGGTAAGCGAGAAGGGGCCGGTTCGAGTCCCGGCAGGGGCGAAATTTTTTCATAACCCTCGTTTTATCAATTAGAATTGCACTTCGAAATAAAATACAAAGGTTAGAAGCAACTGGCTCACCTTGAGAAATCTATTCTTCGCCGTGCGACCATTACGAAACTTGAGCTGTTCTCCCAGAATTGAAACATCAACACATTCAGCAGGCAGACGAGCATGAACAGGAGGCATTTGGTGAGGGTTCACGAAAGAAGTGATCACTGGGCAAACAGTCTATCGCTACTGAGACGGCATGCTCTCCAGCGCTGACTTTTATCGTCGGCACTACGACACACTTGCGACGATCAATTTACGCCGTTGACCGCTATGTCATCGTCTGTCTGGGAGTGACGAGCAAATACATCAAAGAACATGGCGACTGTGATCGTAATGATGACTTACAACCACTAATGCACGCATGCAAGAAGTGACGATGATGACAAATGAAGACGATAGACAATTCCTGATTTTTACCCTTTGACTACCGTTGGTACACACGTGTGAACCACTTCCGTAGTCAGAGGCACTACCACAGTTTTGGGACTTGTTGAGACAGAAGCGCCCGCTCGATGGCGGAATTATGGGCAGATAGAACTGTTATAGTTCCTACTCCCTTAGCAAATCATTAAAAGTCGAAATGAGCTATCCTAAATATAAGTCAATAAAACAAGTCATCGCAGTCGCATCCACTACTAGAGGGGAGCTTCCAAGTTGCTTCTTCCTAGGGCTAAACTAAAGTGAAGGTCCCACTTTTTTGTTAACTGCATTTACGCACGGTACTTCAAGTTAAGCAGAAAGAAAAGCGTT